AGCTATACCTTACCTAGCTGTTCATCAAAGAAAGGGTGGAAACGCGGGCTGCGTGGATGCCTTGCTTTAGCATACGGAATACGCGGACTGGACGAATCCGAACCCGCGTAATACGTACCCAGTTTCCCAACCACCAGAAAACACCACCACCGACCGCGTTTGACCAACGACGGTCGAGCGAGCAAGCGGGCGCCGTTTTCCTTTGGGAGAAAACCTCGCGCCGCGCCCAGCACAAAGTCCACTTCTTCTCGTTTCCCAAAAAAATTTCGTATCGGAAACGACGGGATCCAGGAGAGCGATATACCCGGTAGACAGGCCCTACCGTTCAATTCACGGCCACCCGCGGCGACGGGCAATATCGGCCGTCTGCGAATTCCGGCCTCCCCGTTGGACCGTCAAATCATCCGCCCACCGTCGTCACACTGCTCCAATCCCATTCGTGAAGCTCGGGTGTCTCGGATCACTCGTATTACTACATCTTGAATCACTCAACCACCCACCGACGGCCACCACACCTCGAATTCAGGCCCGCGACCTACTCAGCTTACCCGCGCTTACCTCCCACGCCCACAAACGGCCCAAGTGCCTGCAACTCTGTACGCGGCTATCTTCCTTGTCGGCGTTCGCATGATGGGAAATGTCGACCCCTAGGTCTTCTGCCATAAAATCCATGGATGCTGGCCGTCGCGAAGATGGCCAGGCACCACCACCACTGCCGCCCCCGGCACCCGTTTCTGAACCTCGTCTCTCGACCCCCCTCAGCCGTGAAGGCTCTTCGACTGCCCAGAAGTCACCTGGCGGTTCAGAGTCTCAAGGTACGTAAAGATATGCGGATCTGCCACGCATTGGGGCCCTGGTTTTCCAAGGTTGAGTCTGGGGACCGTTATTGACCCTGTGTGGCGCACATGGTGGATGTTAATCGTTGCATAGGCAGCAGTTTTCCGACCTTTGCCAAGAAGACACCCACGAAGCTCGTCCGGAGTACGACGCCGAATGCAAAGGACGGCAAGGCCGACAAGCCCTCGCCAGTCGCCGTCCAATCTCCTGCCGCAATTGACCCGCTATCTCAGGTTCGTCGCCGCCGTTGGCATGGCGGTAGGAAAGCCTTTGGTTGCTAACCTTCCACAGCACATTCTGATGCGGACCAACACTGGCCATACTGTTCCTCCTCAGCTTCGTAAACGCCCCGATAGCCCTACTCAGGTTCCAGAGCAGCCAACGAAGCTTCCTGCGCATGCATTCGATGCCACTAAGGACAAAAAGTCCGCACTCTTGAGTCCCCTCGTTCATGCTAGTGGTACTAACCAATTGTAGAAAAGGGCCATCATTCTTAAGTCGATTGAGTATGCGGGGAGGACGAAGACGCGAAGACGACGAGGACTCCGTCTTCAGCGATCACCGAATAGATGGGACCAATGCCCAGGCCTTTGGCTCAGTCATTGGGTCCGGATACATACCCCACCACAAAGAACCTCCACGGTACATCCGGGTCAAGGCACACAGCAAGAAGATCCGCGAGTTCAATCGCATGTTTCTTGCTCAGGAGCTGTTCATTCCACAGCCCGACTCGAAAGACGATACGAATACGACAGCAACAGCATCAATCGACACACGACGATCGAACACAAGCGGAGCTATTTGGGCAACGGAATTCAGCACCGATGGCAAGTATTTTGCTGCTGCGGGAAAAGACCAAGTTGTGAGAGTATGGGCTGTGATCACGACGCATGAGGAGCGGCGTCGTCACGAAGAAGAGGAAAACGCAAATGGGGCCAATGGAGAAAGGTTGAGTGCACCTGTCTTCCGAAGCAAGCCGGTTCACGAGTTCAGAGGGCATACCGGCGAAGTACTAGACCTCAGTTGGAGCAAGAACAACTTTCTGTTGTCGTCGTCGATGGATAAGACTGTTCGTCTATGGCACATCAGCCGGAAAGAATGTCTCTGCACGTTCAAACACAAGGACTTCGTCACGTCAATAGCGTTTCATCCTACTGACGACCGGTTCTTCCTTGCGGGATCCCTCGACTCGACACTGCGTCTCTGGAGTATTCCGGACAAAGCTGTAGCTTACTCTACCCAATTGTCTGATCTCATCACGGCTGTGGCGTTTTCGCCTGACGGGAAGACTGCAATAGCCGGAGGGCTCTCTGGCATGTGCATGTTTCACGACACGGAGGGCCTCAAACAGAACTCTCAGTTGCATGTGCGATCATCGAGAGGCAAGAATGCCAAGGGCAGCAAGATTACTGGTATCAAGACGATGGTCATTGATGACGAAGTTAAGGTTTTGATCACATCCAACGACTCAAGAGTACGCATATATAATCTGCGCGACAAGAGCCTTGAATCCAAGTTCAAGGGCTACGAAAATACTTGCAGTCAAATTCACGCCGACTTCAGCGACAACGGACAGTGGATAGTGTCTGGCAGCGAAGACAAGAGAACGTATATCTGGTCTGTGCATTCCCCAGAATCAGACAAGGAGAAGCCTTGCGAATACTTCGATGCCCACTCAGATCGAGTTTCAACAGCAATATTCGCTCCGACCAAATCGCGCCAGCTCCTGGGTGGCTCGGGAGATCCTCTTTACGACCTCTGTAACCCTCCCCCAGTCACTCTAATGAGCCTCGAGGAGTCCATTGCCAGTCAAGCAGGTAACTCGGACGACGAAAAGCCTCAGGTCAAGCAGCAGAAGATCAAAAGACCGGAAGAATCGCCCGCTTACATCGAGAAGTCGAAACATTTTGATGGGCAAATTCTTGTCACCACGGACCAATCTGGGGGCATCAAGGTTTTCCGCCAGGACTGCGCGTACATCAAACGTCGCCATGAGAACTGGGAAACGGGTTCAACATTCTCCCGCCGCATGGGAGGAAGCATTGTTGGACGCAGCGGGAGTGTAGCAACGCGCACAAGTGTCGGTAGCCAACCGCGCTCACGCCGGGGCTCGGTATCCCGCCTGGCAGCCCCTGGCGGTGCTCAGCTGAGCTCCGACATCAATACGTGGCGGCATGGGATTGAAAGTGGGCGCCCGAGCTCCATGATTCTTACAGCATCTCAAAGCCCACGGTCTCTATCGCCTAACAAGGCGTCACGGACGCCAATTAACAATAGTGCCTCCAACCTTGCATCAGAAGCGCGAAAACAACCATACAGTGGATCATCACCACCAGCACGTCCGCAACTCCCAGCTAGTCCCACATCGAGCCGGGCTTCCCGTGACCGGGCTCCGTCCATCCCTCCGACCCCGAGTTTCTCTTTTCTATCCGCCGATGACGACGAAAGCGACGAGCTTCGACTTGATCCTGCGGGCGCCAGCTATTCTTTCTGGAACCTCAATCGATGGCGTGGGATCTCATCCTTGCGATCGTCGGTGTCGTTTAGTAACGTCAATACATCGCAATCGCAGGTTGGCCAGGGGCGAAATAGCATGAGCACAGCAGACACAATGCAAACTTCGGCTAGTAATGGAACCAAAGCCTCCCGCCGCAAGAGCTTAGGTGCGGGCATATACGACTTGGCCGTGCAAGAAGATCACAAAGGCACAACGAAGAGCATTGAGGATGCTGCTGATAAAGCTGAGGTAGATGAACATTTACTACAGCCAGACAATTCGCGGATCGGAGATCGTCTTCGGAACTCGGTTGTCAGCCGTCTAAGCTCCGAGTATACCAGCGAAGACGGCGAACAAATGACTTGTCAAAAATGTGCGAGCAAGGATTTCAAAGCGAAGAGAGTTGGTGGCAGACAACGCCTGATCTGCGTCAAGTGTGGTAAGCTTGCCGATGACGGCAGGTAGGAACGAACAGGCAGAGACATGAGCGGAGTTTTGTCTGAGGGACAGAAGTTTCTTGGGGCTTGATTTCAATTTTACAATTTTTCTCTTCGACAGCGACGGATTCGACCGGTTGGGCACGATACGACGAGGCGCATCTATCATGATCAAGAACAACAGATACCCCACACAATAACGGCTGCAAAGAAATGACCAAGGACGACGGCATATATCTCCATTTCTTTTACTAGTTTTTTCATACACACAGACCAAGGAGTCGAAGAATATCGGTTGGGTAGCATTTTTGGATGACCAAATACAGCAACAAGACGGCGCAAATGAGGAATCGGGGGCATGAAAAGTTTGAAGAATTAATACAATGGAACAAACTTGATATTTTTCTGCTACGCCACGACCCAAAAAATTCACCCCGTCCTCCAACTCACATGTGCGTAGCGGCGCGACAGCCGCAGCGTGAGATTCTGCTTAAAATGATGAGAAACGCGACGGCGGCAATCAACCCCTCAAGGACATTTTCCAGTCCGACCTCGGGCCCGTATTGCCGCCGAGGGTGTCGCCGCCAGAGACAGTGGAACCATCATCAGGCTTGACGTTCCTCTCGGCGGCTGCGGCGGCTTCCTTCTTCTTCCTCTCGGCCTCGGCCTTCTGTGCGGCGGCCTCGGCGGCTTTCTTCTTGGCCAGCCCACCCAGCTCCTGGACGGTGGTCTGCAGGCTCCTGGGATCGGCGCCGCGGATGACGCTCCGTCCGCCGTTGTACGGCTGGCCGTTTTCAAAAAACATGAAGGTCGGCATTGCTGTCACGCCATAGCGTCGGGCGATATCTTGGGCGGAGTCGACGTTTACTTTTACAAACACCAGGGAGCCTGGCTGGCCGTGGGTGTTCGAGAGGGACTCGTATATCGGTTTGATGGCGTGGCATGGGCCGCACCAGTCTGCGTAGAAATCGGCAACGAGGTATGTGTTTGATGAGAGGAGGTTCGTGAACTCTGTGAGTGTTGTGGCGTGGAGGACGACCATTTTGGCGGCTTGAAGATGTGAGGTTTTGGTGTTGCGAAATGAGATGATAGTTGTACGTCGCTATGTATGGTAGAGTAATTGAGATGAAGTCGTCGGCAGATCCGTAGCGTGTCTCTTCGTTCCCACACGTTAATTATATACTGGGGACGCAGCAACCTATCTTATGAGAAAGGCTCACTTGAACTTGCTAGAGTGAGGGCGCGGGTGAGAATAAGAGTGGGTGTGAATGAGGGCATTCGTCACCGACGGTAGTGATCTCGTCAGCTTCTCTCTCCAGCGGTAAATGTGGGGTCGGCGACCGAGGAAGCTTCCAGGTGCTCCGGAGCACAGTCGAGGGAACACTAAATTTTGGTCATTGGTTGCGCCCCGCGCTGTCCTCTTCAACTAAAGCACTCAAGAACTCCACACCTGTCGCTGCAAGCAATGGAATTTGTCACTATCGCATCCCTTGTGCCTTACGAACACTACTTCACACCTGGCACGTTGCCAATTGGATCGACCCTTGGGCTCTCCTAGGGCGGCCTGCTGCATGTGCTCCAGATCGCTGTCCCATCTGTCTAGCAATGCAGGCCGCCGAGTCGGTGTCATCTGCATGGTTCCCGAGTCACTGGATCCTCATGACTTGCTATTTCTCCAACTGACGCAGTTACCATTGCTGACCACTCCATCAGTGCTCAAAGGGCTTTAGAATATGTGAGTGATTATCTGTGGTTGTAGTTCCTATTATGAGAATGCTCAGAACGTTCGTTATTCCGTCTCACACTCTTCATTGCGATCTTACCCATCGTTCTCACTCAACGCCGTCGCACCTTATGGTCTAGCCATGCTCTCTGTATGCTACCATTGGCCTCTCTATCATTGGAGCCAACATCAGACTTCATGAGCTCTGCCATAATGACGCTATTTTGCGCGAAATTACTGTCTCGCAGAGCCTTCCGGGGTAGAGGGCACCAAGTGCTACCGTCTTACATCTCTTTCACCAGCAAGCGTCCACAGTATCCGGTCAAGTTGAGAGTCGCTTTTTAGCACACTGTCTATATGTGAGGGAAACTCACGATCTCGCGAAACGCCGGCCGGCCATCGTCGAGTGACGGCAACACACGGTCCCTAAAGGACTACTAACACCCTCGGCTCTCAGAATAGAATGTTTGTCTGCCCTCGGCGGCTTTTTTGGACAAAGTGTCTAGGATCATCCAGTCCATTAACCAACAACCCCTCTTTCACCCTTTGACATTGCGTCAGATGACCCCATCAGGTGTCTTGCAAAGTCGCAATCCCCCCAAACCTCAAAGCGCCCGTCGCCCCCTTTCTCCCAACTTGATCCACGGCTCTCACCGCCCCTCCAAGTTGGTCTTTCGCACCTTCATGGCCGTGACCGGCGCCTAGTTCAGCGCGAAAGGCTCGGAGGACATGTACCATGTTTCTCTCCAGGGATGTCGGGGATATCTCATGTGGTGTCGGCCGTCTTGGGTCTAGTCTTGTACTGACCCTGCCGCTCTCTGACCTTATCGAGTTGATCTTGCCCCTAGAAGACCAGGCTGCCTCCAGAAGGCTCGAAGCGCCTTGAGCTGACAGCCAACCCTCATTCAGGAACAAGTGAGATGTGTATATTCTAGCCTGATATGGCCCCCACCCTCCACGGTTCGACGTTGAGTCGAGCCTCAGGGGTATGAGCTCTCTCCTTGTCCTGGTATCTTGGGATCGTCAGGAACCATTCTTGCATAGCACTGAGCGCTAGCTATGAGCGTCTCGCTGGACGACGAAGTGGCATCGACTGATGATAGCCTGTGGCTGGTATCCCTTGGCTCACCTTCGAAGCAACTACAGGGTGTTGTATCTCAAATCTTGGGAGCAGCATGTCTCATGTCGAGTGGAAGGGTCGCCCAGGTGGCGATGTTCAGAAGAAGGCTGTTGGAAAGGCCGCGGTCTCGATGAAGTAGGCGCTGATAAGTCGTAACAAGCCCATTCGCAAGCTCAATATGCGATGGACATGTTCAAACTTGCTCAAGACCGGGTGAATCTCATCTAGTATTCACTTGAGACATAGAATATAAGATATCTTCCCGTGTTTCTCGAGTGAGGGCTCGTAGATAGCAAGCATTTCCTTTTTCTTGAACCAAAATTCAAGCTCCAACATAGTCGTCATATACAATCTCCTCCAAAATGTCTAGTTACCAGGCCCTCAACTTTGGCTTCGAGCTTGAGCTATCTCTCAATAGCAGCAAGAAGCACAAAAACTGGCTATCCATGGCCCAAGACACCAGCAGTCGCTTGGCCAAGAAAGGAGTCAGCAATCATGTTAAGGAAAAGGTGGATGGGAACTACCGTAAATGGTCCATTGTCCAGGAGATCACGATCCCTCAGAATCCTGCCAAGAACAACTGTCAGTATATCAAGCCACGCAATAAATGCTGAATCCTGATGCTGAGTCGGCTCAGGGGCCCTTGAGCTAGTTTCCCCCGTCTTCAGCCTCGAGTCTCAGTGGCTGTCCGATGCAGACAACATCTTTTCTGCTGTCCAGAAGCACTCGTCCGTTCAGATGCTTCCCCAGTGCAGCACTCACGTACACGTCAGCCAGGCAGATCAGGAGTTCTCGTCATTCCAACTGGCCTCTTTGGGCAAGGCCATCCTGGCATATGAAGCTTGCTTCGATGCCCTCGTACCGAAGGACAGAGCTGCCGCCTACTGGTGCCAGAGCAACCGCCGGAACCCGGTGTTATCTCGTTACCAGACCCTTGAAGACTGTCTCGACGCTCTCGACGTCGCGGCTCAACGAGGGACTACCGCCGTCGTTGAAGCGATGTGCCTCTTTCCGGCATCCAGTGCGTATGGAAGAGCACATGGGAGAAAGAGAGATTTCGTTCACGGCAAAGTCTACAAGTGGAACTTTGCCCGCTTGCTAGGGCACGACCACAGCCGCACTATTGAATTTCGACAGCCTTCGGGCAGTACTTGCATGGAAGATGCCATCGGCTGGGTTCTGTTGACACTAACGTTCGTTGCTGGTGCAACTGGAGGCGGCAACTGCATCGGCTCGTTGGAGAGTGGCGGTGATGACCGGTTGGAATTTTGGCAGCTTTTGTGTCATGGAGCTGGGGTTCTTGGACTTGATCCTTTTCTGCTTAATGTCTTGAGCGGGTTCATTGGTCGTGCAGCAGCTTGATCGAGTGTACGCCGTCGATCACATAAGAGCTCTCTCTTCCTTATTGCCCCTCAAGTTGGCTTCTTTCACCTCCCGCTTGGTCGTTTGGTTCTTGTAAGACCATTAGTAGCCACTGAGTATCTTATATTTTTCAGCGGCCTGGCTCTCAATCATCTCAAATTCTAATTGTGATGATGGGAGTTTCAACCGTTGCCAAATGCACGTAGCATTTGTTCCGGCACTCCGGCAACCACTTCCGGCCCGGAAGAGTTCCCTCCGGTAATGCTCTCCTTCAGGGCAGTACACCGTACAACTTGATGTATTCCAGGCGCTATTCTCATCTGGGTTCCGAAAGTCAATTGTATTGCAACCTCATATTCACTAATTAATCTATTCGGGACGCCGTTCCCTCGACAAGTTTGGTTGAAAACAGCCTTTACCACCACCACCTACAGAACACATTGCATGACTCCCGGAGCTCTAAGTACAGGAGCCAAAGATGGACCATAAGGAGAGGAGCAGTTAGTTCCGTCATTGGACTTCAGCTGACAGATTTTTGGGACTGAATGCAACGTGAATAAAAGCCTCTTTGATCCTCCTCGAGTATATAACCATCCACACTTGGCATCCAGTTCAGTCGTTCCAGTCGCCAAGCTGTCAAAAAGTCGTGTTGCAACCACCAAAGACTCAGTTCGCGTTCTTTTCAACTCTTTTCAAATGAGCTTGATACGTGTCTTGGCTACCGGGCTATCAGCAGTCTTGCTCGTTAGTCCCGTTGCAGCGCAGACTACAGCACCAGCTTGGGGGCAATGTAAGTCATGATAGCCTCACCTGATCATGCTATAGTCAGTATCTAACACGGTCAAAGGTGGCGGCAGTGGCTGGACTGGAGCTACAAGCTGCAGTAGCGGCTATATCTGCTCAGTTCTCAAGTAGGTCTGTCATCACATCAATCCAAACCATCCGCTGACCGTTGAGACAGCCCCTATTACTCTCAATGTATTCCAGGATCCAGCACTCCTACAACCTCATCTACCAGACCTGTTTCAACGTCCACTACCCCTATCGCAACAGGCACTAACACCCGTACGACTTCTCGCGCAACTACCACTCTTGTGACCGTGACCACCACGGATGCAGGTGGCAGCGGCTCTGTTCCTACAACTCTCGTCTCTGGATGGTCCTGGATTCGCGCCGTGGCCTCGCCCAACTTCCACAGCTACCTCCAGGCCAAGCCCACCGGCACGCCCAGCAAAGCCTACCTCGATTCACCTAGCAGCGCGGGTCAGTTCAAAGTTGAGGACGGCCAACTCGTGCATCTGACTGGATCATCGCCACTTTACCTCAATGTCGAGAACCCGACAGACAAGACGCAGAGAAAGCTAGAGACGTGGTTTAGTGCAAGCAAAGGCACATATGGAACTTTTGCCTTCCAGGGCGATACGCTTACTTGGAGCACACCCGACATTAGCCGGCCCAACGTGGCTGCATGGCTTGTTTGTGAGAACCAGGAGGTGTTCATTAACACGGGGGCATATCTGTATCAGACGCCCGTTGGTTGTTTTGATCAGACTGTGAGTGAAACCCTCGACTCTTGCAAGGTAGTGCCAGGAAACTGATCAAAATTAGATTCATTCCTACGGAGGTTCGACCGCAGACCTTTAGTATTACCAAGATATGTCTACTAAGTAGAAAGCTCGACATTCAAATGCATTGTCCTCCATGTAGTGCTTCAACAAGCCACACCACAACTACTCCACGCTCTCTTCCATCTTTCTCTTGCCCCCGGGATTGTTCATCACCATGGTAGTCTCCAAGGTGAACTTGTGCGGCCCCACATAGCTTTGTGACTTGCTCCCATCTGCGAGTGTTGTGTCCTTGAAGTACGACTCGTCGAGGTGTATCCCGCCCAGCAACGAAGCACGACTAGTAAAAGCCCACCAGACACTGAAATGCATCCCTGTCCCCATCGGCTCCAGACTCCATGTGATAGAGTTAACGTCAGTGCAGACCACCTTGTCGACCGTTGGTACTTTAGGACCAGTGTCCGTGTTGATGGTACAGTTAGCAAAGTCGGCGCCAGGGGTGGGCTGGACGGAGAATATGACACTGGTTCGGTTCGCGTTAGCAAAGAGTTTTGTAACGACTTGTCCCTCGCCGTCTCGTAGTCTAGCTTACAAGTTTCTTGTGCTTGGTGGAAGACTTCCCGCGAAGAACCTGTCCACCTCGAAGACTGCTGCAGTACGTGCGGAGTGTTCAGCCTGAGTAGAAGGGGCACCATGTGCCAAATGGCAGAGAAGAGCCAGACTTGCAAGATACCGCATGTTGAAGAGAACGAAATGATCTAGTGGTGTGAATTCATATACGACTCATCTCTCTCGGGGATGTTAGTTGAAATAGTGACGCACCGTCTTTATTTATGCCGGAGACACTCGGCCTCGCTCCCTTAACTCTGGTCACACTGAGCAAAATTCGACAATCCCGATAACCTCAAAGGATTACCCGAATATTCAACCGCTTTTGAATGGTCGAATGAGGGTCGCCAAAAAGGCCCTCAATCTCGTACCCAGAATCCAATATGATACCTGAAATAGAACTTCCTTGTGACAAACGGGTCATACCTAGAGAAGCAAACATCGACCATCCTGCGTTATACGAGAGTACCCAGGGCTTTGTGTAACAAAGCATACGACTTTTAATTCCTACCAATGGGCTCCTCATCTGTGTGAGCGCCCAAGCCATGCAGAGTTCTTCAGATCCAAGTGTAGCAACAACACGAACACGCAAAAAGGCATCCATCATGAACAAACAAAGTTGGTATCCCATTAACTTTTGACTAACCATCCGTCTAAACGCTAATCGTACGGAAAACACTGAACTCATCACCAGTAGCCATCAAGCTGCCAGTGATCTGGGGATGCCAGTGGAGCTCCTTGACGTTGGACAAGTAGTGGACGAACAGAAGCTGAGGCGGCACGTCCTTGACACCGCCGGTATCCTTGCTCTCCTCGTCGTCCAGCTCGACAGCCAAATCCCATAGAGTAACGGTGTTGTCGCCCGCAGCAACAGCAATGATACTATCGTCTGTGGGGTGCCACTCGATACTCGTGACCTGCTCCTTGTGGTAGTTGAAGCTGGCAATCGGCGAGGGCTTGTCGGCAGCAGAGGTAGAGCTCTGCTTCCACTGGCGCAGATCCCAGACGGCGAATTCGCCGTCGTCGGCGCCAGACGCAAGCAGATGCGTCGTGAGGGGTGACCACGACATGACGTTTACATCGTGGTTGCTGACATGCATTGAAAGCGCGGGCTTTCTGCTCTTGCTACGGACATCCCAAACGCGTATTGTGCCGTCGCTTGAGGCGGATGAGAAGACAGACTGTTCCGAGGGACTCCATTGAATTTCCTCAACGCTGCTGGTGTGACCCTGGAATGGCCGGGTGTCGGTGACGAAACCGCCGCCGTCGGTGCGGGTTGTGACGTAAATGAGACCATCGTTGTCACCGGTGAGGAGCTTTCCACTGGGAACAAGGGGGGACCAGTCAAGAGCATAACCCTCTGCTTTGTGGGCGCGAATGGTCGACACTGGCTTGTTCTGCTGCGCGGAGATGACGGTGCCCGGGTTATCGAAGGAGTAGATGTGAGGCGTAATATCGTGAATGAAGACGTTGGATGACTCGGTCATGGTGGCTGTGAGGGTCGTAGGAGGTCTGGAAGCATCTTGCGAGGGGATCTGATGGGCGCGGATTCGGTTCGTAGTCGAGTTCAAGGGGATCGCCTTGTGCTCAAGGATGGGCTCGGCGTCCTCATCGCCATCTTCGTCGTCGTCATCAGATTCCTCGTCGTCCTTCTCCGTACGGCTCAGACCGCTGAACTTCATAACCATCAGCTGGTTCTCGCCAGCCCTGGCGTTCTCTGCTTGTGTACCAGCCACGGTGTACATGGTGGCGGGATAGACCTTACGGTTGTCACCAAGACTGTCGCGGAGAATATCGAAAGACAGACAGGGCCATGGCGTGCTCAGGTTGTGCAGCATCTCGTAGGTAGAAACATCGGGCGCGAGTGTCTGTCCCGCCTCAAGCTTGTTTCGTCCGACGATGAAAGTGCCCTGGTCGACGGCAGCTAAACTGGTCAGCTAAGTTCTATGTCGCGAGGCCGTTGATATCGTACCTTCCCTCTCCTCAGCCTCCCTCTCTGCGTCAGGGCGTCCGTCAACACCGGCCTCCATAATTTCGTCCTCCTCGAACTCATCCTCGAATTCGTCCTCGAACTCGCCCATGTCGGGGGCCTTCTCGTCAATCTCCATACCCTCAGGGCGATCACCTCCCTTGAGGGGGGCATCCCCCATTTCGACATCAGCAGAGCGTTTCGACATGATTTTGGGCCGTCTTTAGAAAAAAGAAATGGGAAGTGGTAATCGGGATTCTGCTCTTCTCGAAGCCGGACTGCGACCTGCAAAATCCTAGTGCCACAGAAAAAAAAATTGAGGCCCCGCGATTTGTGGCGGCGACAGTACCCCGCGTGGCGGTGCTCTAGAATGGATCACTTGCAGGGGCCGTTTAAGTGTGGCTTGACTTGAAATCGAGAGCACGTGACCTCGTACGTCCGTCGCGTCACCCGCCATTCCACAGCTTCCAGGCGCACCCCCGTCCCGTCGGTGTTGATTGCCCCGCCAGGTCGAATGAGACCTTGAACACCAGACGAATTCAGGCTTAATTGTCGCTCGCACTCCGACCTGGGGATCTATGCCAACGCCGTTCCCCTCGAAGATGGTATCTAGAGGATTACCGGCACAATGGCGCCGCAGCAGAACACCTTCGCCGTCATTCCAGACGCCCCCGGGCGCGTCGGTGGCCCCGCGAACAGGCCGCCGATGACATCGAAGCAGGCTCAGAAGCTATACAAGCAGGCGAACAAGGAACCGAGACGATCCAAGACTGAACAACGGAAATGGGAGAAGGAGAAACAAGAGGAGATTCGCAAGGAGCTCGAAAAGGAGCGCGCGGCAGTCAAGGCCAAGGCAGCGAGAGAACGAAAAAAGGCCAAGGAAGAGGAGGCCCGAGAGAACAGGCGAAGGGCTGGGCAGCCTCTGTTTGACTGTCGACCAAGTCAAGACACGATCGCGCGTTTCGTACGAGGAAATGGTTCGCACAAGAAGAGAGATTCATCTGGAGAACCGATACCAAAGCCCGAGACTGCCTCTGCCGCCTTGGCCGATATCAAGCCGAATAACTTGGCGTCAACCGCGGCTTCCAAGCCTCCTCTTCAAATTGAGTCATCAGAAGAGAGAAAATCCTCAATTGGCTCCATGGCACCACCTCCTCGTCCCTCACAGATAACAAAGTCGGCCATGTCATCTGTTCAAGGCGCAACTACTTGTGAAAGACAATCTTCGGCTGAAGGAGTCGTGCCGAAGCCAATAGACAAAGATGCTCTCACACGACAGCCCCTGAAGCCGCTATTCACGGCACCAGAAAAGGCCCCAGCTGTAATGGCTTCCATTGGACCTCCTCCACGACCTGCTGTGAAGGCCAAATCAAGGCCTTTCATGATGCCGAAGGCGACATTACCAACCCATCAGCCACCTCGGCACAAAATTTTCAAGCAAAAGCCGTCTCTCCAGCCTTCTATCCAGATCAAAACAGAGGTCTCACTGCCAAAAGAGTTGCCATCCCCAAAGTCTGCACCGCCAAAGTCATCAACGGCGATGCCTCCGCCTCCAGTACCATCACAGAAGCCCAGAGTAGAGGCTGCAGAAGACAAAGCGCCGACGGACATTCCCATACCAATAATTGCACCGTCACCAGGAGTCCGATCGAAACATATTCTACCGCCACCAAGGCCATCAATACCGCAGATGCCTCTACCAAGCACACAAGCAATCGTGCAAAATTGTTTCGATGACTTCTTCCCCACAGCCTCACAACTCGCTGTAGAGCTTGAAGAGGATTTCGATGGAGCTCAAACTGCACTGCCTTCACGTCTGAGTGCTCCCATACCAAGCAAAGCTCCTGCTCAGGGGTCTACCGGACCTCTCAGTCGACCGAAGGAGACAGGGAGCCTGGCGAACGAAAGAAACTTACCACCAGCAAAGAGCAACTTCTCGGCCATACAAAACCATGAAAGCAACTTGAGTTCGCGGCATAAACAGATAGCCAACCTAGGGACACATGTCCGTGCAACACAACCACCAACCTCTATTACCAACAAACTCCAGACCCGACATGGGCTGGCTCAAAAGGAGCAGATTCAGAAACAACAGCAGCAGAAATACATGATGCCTCGAGCGGTTTCTGGCCCAAAATTGATCACACATGGTGTGATTGCAGCAGCACACAGTACGCCTCTAGTCAAGCGGCAGGGTGCTCCGCCACTCATTGCACCCAACCGGTTTCCAAATCGTGGCATTCTTCAGGAAATCAGTAGCAACCACCGGCCTGCACCAAAACCTACAGTTGCAAAGGCTTTGCATGTTTTTGACGACTTTTTCCCCTTGATCTGCACTCAGGACCTGATGATGTCCTCTCAGGAGGTGCTGGATATAGAATCCCCGGCCAAAGCAATGACACAGTCATCTTCAGGTGGACCGGTAACAAATTCTGCCTCGTCACTCATTGAAATG